ATTTACTTACTGGAAGTTTCTTTACGTAGTAAGTTTATTATTACCACACTCCACAACAGTCTCTAAGATACCATCCTGGACTTTAAACACAAGAAACATAAACAGACATAGATGCACACAGATGAGCACACACAAACACATGTGCATGTATGTGTGTAGGTTTCTATGTCTGGCATAGTACATTATCTTTTGTTATAAAGTGGTACTTAAAGAGAGATTTTTGTGGTATCAATCATGTCAGCTCTTCCAATGTGTTTACAGGTGTTACTTGTAACAACAAGGTGAGAAGGGTTTGACTTGTATTTGAGGGGCAGAATGCCATCCATACCAGTAGTTCAGTTCCATTTTGTGTTTGTAAAACTAATTTACCAGAGCAACCTCCAGACCTTTGAATCCTACCATCTTCACAAAGAATGAGGTCTATAGCCATTGTAGTTTCTTTGGTGAAAGTAAGTTTTGTTGTATTTGTTCCTGCAAGATCAATGATTTTGGTAACTTAATCTGTAAGAGCCTGATCTTGTCACAGTTGTATACACAAAACTTCAGATAACTTCTGGGAGCCAAATCTTGCTCAGCTTACTCACAAGGGTATCAGCTGGCCTGATTGATTTGACTTCCCAGTATAAATAAGAAGCAAATTCCTTATGGTTAATTGAGTCTTTAATATCACCAGAAAAAGCAGTGTGAGATCAGAATCAGCCCTAGCAGGAATACGTACACTCACAAAAAATTAGCCAGACGTTGCCCAGTGGAAATTCTGGGCATACAAAGTAAGAATCACAATTTAACAGAAGGTTATCCTGTACAGATTTCTCTGTTACAACAACTCTGTTCAAGAAATTCTGTAGCAGTTAAAAACTCCTACAGTTCTACCAGATTTGCAGCATCGACAGAAGAGTAACGCATCAGATTTGCTTTGTATACCAGGAGAATCTTGTCCTTTTTGTTGCTCTTTTGTAGATTTAGCAGAAGTCAATGGTGGTGTTAAATAATTTTTTAAATAACTTTGAAGGGAAAACACACTGGCAAAATTGTGTTTTCTAGGAAAGCTGTGTGTGTAAATGAGAAACAGTGGATAGCGGCGGAGTGATCTCCTGTGGCCCTGCCAGTACAAGCTTTCCCCATATTGTCTCCTGCTTTTATATTAATTACAACTTGCATTATCAGCTGCGAGTCTGTAGCCCAGCAAATAGAAAATATTGCCCCTGGAGACCTAGCTTCTTGTATCTATTTTCCATCTCCTTGTATTGTGCTCTACTCAGTATTCACTGCCTTTCTCCTGGTAACACTGCTCTTTAACACAATTAGGTAAGAGCAAGAGGAACACCATATTTGACTCCCAGTTATTAAAACGACTGGGAATAGATACATGTGTGCCGTTTACCTTCCATGGTATCTGGCATTAGTTTAGGTCATATGTATGGGAAAATTTTATATTACGCATATGTACGCAACACAGGGAATTGCATTTTGGCAGACAGCATCCACACTTTTCAATGTGTTTCTTCTGCAAAGTATATTACTGAACTTGCAAGAAGATCCGAGAAGCTATGCTAACAGTTTGTGTAATTTATCCAGTTGATTTTCCAATTGTTTTTTTTGTTTGTTTATTTTGTGAGTTGTTTTTTCTTTACAAAGTAAAGCATGATATCTTAACACAAATTTCCTTGAAATTAATAGAAAAATTGCAATTAACGCTAGTGGGCTTTAAATCAGGATCCCTTAAGGTACCTAAACTATATGGATACAGTGTTTACAGTGAAATACATTTTAGATGTGTCATTTGGTCCTTTTTTTTTTTTCTTTTTTTTAAACATACGTAAAATAATTACTTATGATTAGACTTTTGGCCAAGAAGAAGTCTTTCTGGAGGGATGCAAAGTTGAAGACAGTCTAGGGGAGAAAAAGAGAAGTTCTCTGACACATATAACGATATTAGTCCAAAGCAAAAGAATGTTGCCTCTTTACAAGGCTGTAAACTCCAGCCCTAGAGTTATTTGCAATTTTTTTGTAATATTAAAGCCTAGCTATTTCTCTCTCTCTTTCAAATTCCTCTAACATTCTACTGTTGCAGCTTTTAAATATCCCATCTTATTATTTCTTCAACAAAATGCTGCCAAATTCCTTCCTCAATAAATCTGTGTCACAAGAAATACATAGAATTCCCAATCAATACTGCCTGTCTTTCTAAAACAGGATCTACAAACTGAGGTCAAGAACAACTCAGCTTGGTAGAGACAGCAAGTGTTTTCAGCTGCGGGAAGTCTTATTCAGTGATCCTTTCCAAATCGTTACAGTTTTGAAACAGAAAGGCCGGTCTAGCTTTTGAAATACTGTATGATAGGTTTTGGATGACATTTGCCTTAAAACATAGTTGAGGTGTTACCAGTTAATTATTGTAATTTTCATATGTGTGATGAGGAGCTCCAACAACAGCCAGCTGAAGAGAGCCTGCAGTGCATAAAATTAACATAACTCACTGTGTTCCCTGAAAAGTTTAGCCTAGGTGAACATGTTGCAATTATTACAATTTCTAAAATAAGGTTCCAGCCTGATGTTGTTGAAGGGCTAAGCTCATGTTATGTTATTGTTTCTTTCCTTTTTCATGTATTTCTTCCAGCTCTTTATCTGATTACCATCCGGCAAACAGCTGCAGAGGGCTGAAGAGCTCCTGTCTGCTATTTGCCTTCAGCTTGAAGCTATTTGAGTGGCTTCCTAACTCAGAGATAAAAAGAGAAGCTCACAGGCACAACTGTGTTTTAATCCAAACTGTAAAGAAACTTGCGCAGTTTTTCCCTTTTATTTCCATTGGAAGTTTAGCTAACCTTATTTTCAACTTTTTGGGTTTTTTAATAACATCTGGGCTGCTTGAATTTTCAAGACTTCTCATCTTCTTGTGTTTCTTTCCACCTGACACTGTAACATGATGGTAAAATATTTTTGTTTTGTTTTGTTTTTAAAGTGAAATTGAGGCTGTTACAGTACTTATAGTGATTTCTGAGACCTAATTAATACAGCAACTTCAATTAATAGGAAATACTATTGTTTGGTGGGTTTAGTTTCCTGTAGGAGTTCTGCATGAGGAAGAGTAGATCAGTCTTCTAGGTTTTGGAGAGGGTGGTTGTTTTGTGCTGTAAGTGCTCTTGGTTATACTTGTAGGCTATGGCCAATTTCAGATCCTGGCCTGTCTCTTGCTTTTATTCGTATCTTCCTGCTGTGAAACCACATACGTGGGTGCATGTACGTGTCTGGGTGAGGTGAAGGAGATTTGGATCCTTGTTACCCTTCGGCCACCTAGAGCTTTACTAGGAAGCTTTTGAAATTGTAGGCTCTTCCCTTTGTCTCTGCTGCAATCTGGGCCAGGAACATTAGATTTATGTTAGTGGGTATTGTAGCAAGCCGTCATTTGGCAGTTCTACTTTGCGTTGCTATAGAGCATGTGGTAATAATCAACACTACAAGATTACTTTGAGATGTTTCAATATATATTTTGGGACCTGATTTCAATCACACTTACACTGCATTTTACAATGGGTAAACCAGTTGATTTTGTTGAACTTACTCCTACTACACATTGGGGTAGATGAGGTCAGAATCAGTCCTACTCAAATAACTTATCTAAACTTGTCACTTGCTGCTTTCAGGATCTCCTTTTGCTTTAATGATCTGGTGTTATTTCTCAATGCAGACTTAAAACAGAATCAAACCTAAGAAGTAATACATTTTCCTTTTTTTTTTTTTTTTTTTTTTGAGTGAGGATGTTTTTTGTGTTTTGTGTTGTTGTTGAATTATTATCATATGCTTGATTTAAGTTGTCACATACAGGTGACCAGTAATGAAGGTCCAGCCCCTAGTCTGATCTGTTTCATGTGTTCTTGCTCTCCTTTTCTGCCAGAGGAAATTCCAACTCTTGCCTGCCTTCATGTGGTGCTGATAAAGCTCTTCCTGTACAGTAGAATTCCTGTTTTCCTTTAAGCAACAGCAGGGTATTGAGAATGATCAGGAAAGGGGAGGAGGACAGGAGGAGAGTACACTCAACAAAGTAGCACTAAACTGTAACATTACGTTTCCCTTGCTTATCTATCATTCTGAAAAGCAGCCCCTCAGTCGAGGAAAGCCAATACTCTATAATAGAAAGCTTGCATGAATTGTGTGACTAAAGTACAATAGTTGAAGTCTTACTCAGCCAAATTTTGCAAACTTTGTGTTCTTTGTCTTCTGCATTCTCCTTTGTAGTGTTTTATGCATAGTAATGTAGAAGAGTTACATAAAAATCACTCTACATGTTATTTTATATAATCACCTGGTGGTTATTCTTGACAATACTTGTAAGCGAACTGTTAGAGTGATACATCTAGAAAATCTTTTGAAATCTGTCATATCAAGGTGGAGGGTGAGGAAACATCTTTCCTGGTATATAACATCTTTCAGAGAAAGGTTGCTTTTCTCCTCACAACTTTGAATTTGCTTGAAGTTTTTTCAGCATTCAGATGGGTGAGAGAGAGGGTAGAGTGTGAGGACATGTTCCTCTCCTATGCACCTTCTCCTCTACTTCTTGAAAGTTTTCCTCCTCTTCCTCTTTTTGCATACCAGCTGTCCTGATCCTAATGTGAACACTTAGTATCATAATCTCTGCAGGTTGATGATCTTGCTTCTGACCCCCTGTATAGCTTATTAAGAAGCTGAGTTGTGTTTTTTTCTCCCTTGCAATATTCTTCTGCAGTACTATGAAAACATTTAAATCAAGGCAACTCTTTGGAAAATTTGAAAAATAAAAATCTTTCCTTTATTTTACAAAGTAAAAATTTGTACCTCCTCTGCTTGTCTTTGCTAAAGAATTATTATACTGTGCAAACAGTACCGGTGTTTGGCACATTTAAAAAATGCTAATATGTATACTTTTCCACCCCTCCTCCCTTCTTCTCCCGGTTTTCTTTCTGTTCTTCATTTGCTATTGGAATGGGAACTGTGGAAAAAATTCCTTGGCACTCTGACACCAGAATCCTTCATCTTGGAGAGACCATGATGATGCAACCTCAACGCACTCGGCAGGCACACCGGGGCCCTCCAGCGGGGGCCACGCTTCCCAGAGCGGAGACAACAGCAGCGAGCAAGGTAAAAGGTCAAACTTTTTCCCTCCACAAAGTAGGCATGACTAAAATAACTCCAGCTTTTTTTATTATATCAGTACATCTGCCTTAAAGTAAACATGGAGTGGCAGACCTGCAGTACAATCAGTTGTAACTTAGGGAGACGGTATTTCCTTTTCCTAACCCACTTAGCTGCATTTTATTATTATTTCAAAGTGAAATATCTAATCTTCAAACAAGCTTTGTAACAACAATTGATTAGTTCTGCCAATTCCTTTACAAATTTGGTTATCTGCAGTTTATTTTTGTGTGGTGTAAGTAAATATAATGGCAGACATACTCTCCAGCTGTGATGCAGTTGGTTGAGCCCGGTTATAGATGGAGAATTTAACCTGTCATTTTAGCTGGGAAACAGCCTCCTATATGAAGTTGTGAAGCTGCTAAATTATATAAAGCAGAAGTAAAATCTAA